CAGGCCTGGACTTGCAATTAATGAGCAAACAACTGCATGCCAGGAGCTTAACATATTCCGCCTCCTTTCCTTCTACAGCAAACCCGTATTTCCATTAGGTACCTTTAACCTTTTTTTACAAGTAAGAAAAACTGAAACGGAGAGGTTAAGTAGCTAGCCCAAGGTCATACAGTTTGTTAAACCTCAGAGTCTCACACAGTTTGTTTAACCTCAGAGTCTGGGTTCCAGCTTAGTCTCTCTGAATCTAAATTCCACTGTGCTCTTCTGCCCTCCATTATAAACTGTTGCACATTAGAATTATATTTCTGAACCTTGACTAAGGGAGAAATTTTATAATTTTTATTCTTTCCTTCCCAAATGTTATTATATTTTTAAAAACCTTCATCTGATATGTTACCAGCTTCCACAGAGCCAGTTGCATAAGCACTCCATCCATCCCCTAGCAAGCAAGCCCTGGCTCCTGGTCCCCTGGGCGGACCCCAGCACGGCACCAACCCACAGTCTCTAATTGCCTGCTGACCTGTCTGATTCCCCCTTGTAAGGCAAGATCTATGTCAGGGGCAGTCGGTGCCAGCAAGCGTTTAAGGAAGGAGGAAGAGAGAAGGACAATAAAAAGAATTTTTAAAACCCATAATAACAACAAATACCATTTGTTGACTGTTTGCTCTTTGCCAGGCGCTGGCTCTGTATTCTAATGCACACACGATCTCCCATAAGCCTCTCAATCCCATGAGATGAATATTTTCATCTTCAGTTTACATTAGAGGAAACAGAGATTTGAAGAGGGTGTCTCTTGCCCAGGGTTGCATAGCCAGTAAATGACTCCACAGCCTGTGTCCTTAGCTACCACTTGACAACCGTGGGGCCCCTTCCCTGTGCTCTCAGGAGAGCAGAGGGATTAATCAACGCAGTCTTAGCCAAAAAAAAAAAAAAAAAAAAAAAAAAAAATCTAAATTGTGCCGCTCGTGGTCCACTTGGATTCTTTGGGGTAAAGTGCTCAATCTTTCATGATTGTTCACTCCCTCCTTTCTTCTATTGGGTAACATCTAAGGCACGGGTCGGGGGAGGAGGGAGGAAAGGCCTGGGATAACCCCAGGGTGGGTGGGGGAGGAGGTCTGTGATTCCAGTGTTGCCTCCAGCTTTGACTCCTCTCTTGGGCGTCCACTCTCTGCAGCTGCTCTGATATGTACAATGCATCTGTCCTCTGGGCGGGTCCCCCGGTTGCACCGCCCATGACCGCTTCTGGCCACAGCTTCCACACCCTCTCCTCCAACCCCAGCTCCCTCTGGTCCACAGTCTTCCTAAGCATGTCTCCACCCCCATCTCCTGGGGTCCCGGAAGCCCTCCGTTGCCTTCCCCTCTCCATCCTCTACATCAGGGCTACTTAAACTGCGGTCAGCATCACCCAGGGACTTGTCAGACATGCAAATTCTCGGGCCTGACCCAGAGCTACTGAGTCAGTACCCCTGAGGTTGGGGCCAGCCAGCCACCCGCGCGGGGACCATCCCTCCGGGGGGTCTGATGCACACTCAAATTCAAGGATCGCTTCCCTACCCCAGAGCTTCCCTCCCACCAGGGCTCAGAGCGGAAAGTCCATGTTCCCACTTGGCTAGGCCTTGATGTGTAAAAGGAAGTTTGGGGGTTCAGAAAAACCCTTTATCCTAAAGAGCACGTAGGTCTTTAAGTCGAAGTTCTGGATTCTAAAAATGTGATGACTGTAGAACCCTTTCAAAGTATCCATTCAGAAAGTCAAAGCCGAGGATCAGCTTCTCATCAGCGGCTGATTCTGCCTCCCCCAGAAGCGACAGATGCCTCAATGTCAAGGGTGAGGAAGGACAGGAAAATTGCTGGGAATTAAAAATTCATAGGATCGCTTTTTCAAAAACCTTTTTTCACTACATGTGCAATGTATTTTCAATTCCAGGCTGATATAACCTTCACGTCAACCCTGAGAAGTCTCATAATATCAACTTCACCGCCTGGAGCGGCAGTCAGCCCATAGGCTCTGGCCCCGGGCCCCTGAGCCATTGGTGGCGTCGCTTTCATCCCTCCCTCTTCTCTACCCTCGCTGAGGTCACTGCCCATATTCTGACCTCATCATCCCGCCCAACCACGTACTAGTGTGTAGTCTTGGGCAAGTTACTGAAACTCTTTGCCTCAGTTTCCTCCTTCAGTTTTGCCAACAGGTTATGGGACACCTACAATATTTCAGGCACTGGGCTTATGACAGTAAAACAAGCAAAATCCCTGTCCTCTTGGAACCGACATTCCAGTGTGGCAGGGATAGAGAGCTCCTGGGTAACGGACAAAGGAGGGTTGTTACTTTTAAATAGGGTGGCTGAGGAAGGGCCCACTAACAAGGTGACACTTGAGCAGAAAACTGAAGGAACAAACTACGTGGATGTCTGGGGAGATGGCATTCCAGGGGGAGGGGATGAAAGGTGCAAGGGTTCTGAGCCTCATGGCTCCTTGGGGCCCTGAAGAACTGACAAAGTCATCAGTGTGGCTGAAGCGGGATGACGGAAGGGCAACACGGGAGTCGCGGAGAGAGTAGCTAGACAGATCATGTAGGGATCTATCTGCTCCTGTCGTGACCTTGACTTTGACCCTAGGGAGATAGGGGCAGGTTTGAGCAGAGAAGGGACCCATCTGACTTTATATTTTAAGGGTACACTGGCTGCTGCGTATGAAAAATAAATGGAAGGGCTGGAGGAAGGGGAGATAGAAGCAGGGACAAGCAAGCCGAAACGGGGCCACTGCAGTAATCCTGGCAAGAAACAGTAGGGTCTGGTCCAGCTGGCCCCCGGGAGGAGGTGTGAAGGGGTCAGACCGAGAATACAGCTGAAGTCAGAATCAGTAAGATTCACTGGTGGATCAGATGTGGGGAGTGAGAAAGGGTGCGGGTAGGTGGTGAGGAGAGAGGGTACATGGGGATGGTGGCTCGGTTTTTAGACTGAGCAAGTGCAGAGATGAAATTGCTGTTTACTGAGGCGGGGAAGACTGAGAGAAGAGCACGCTTGGTGGGAAAATCATTTTTAGACACGTGAAGGTTAAGATTCCTATTAGACACCCAGGGGAGAAGCCAGTGGTCTGTTGGACATAGAGGTCTAACAGAGGGGGAATACAGGCTAGGGATAGAATGTGGAAGACTTTAGAGGACAGAGGGTGTTTCTAAAAGATCATGAGAATACCTACTTTGTATGGATGCTGGGGCGAGTAAATGAGCTAAAACATATAAGCATTTAGAGCAGTGCCTGGCCCATAGTAGGCACTCAGTGAAGGTCAGCTAACCACTAGCATCATTTTAAGTCACTCAGCCTCACCCACAGCTTCCCAGCTGGCCTCCTTGCTTCTGGCCCAGGGCCACCTCTGTGCCATCCTCCACGCAACTGGTCAGCGATCTTCCCACAGCCCATATCTGACCATCCCTCCCTGCTTAAACCTGCAATGGCTCCCTATTGCCTTCAAGACAGAACACAACAGTCAAAAGCCCCTCAAGCCCTTTCCTGATTCAGTTACTGCCACCCTCACCGGCCCAATCTCTGCCGCAACCCCCCACCTCCCACCTTCTCCTTCAGCAATAATAGGAACCCTTTGTTGACAGCTTACTGTCTTTGAACATGCATCTGCCTCTGCCGTGACTTGTCCAGCAGCAGACTCCAACTGATTCTCACATCCTCCATGAGGCCTCCCTCCCCACTCGGGGGGCCTTTCTTCATGGGGCCTCCCCTGCCATCCAGGGGGCTGTGCCCTTTCTTGTGGCTCTGCCTCCTACCTTCCCTGGTGTTTCTTGCCCTCAAGAAAGATTGCGTTCCTTCTAGTCCCATTCCTGCAGCACTGAACACTGAGCCCGCCACAGGCAAGGGGCTGGGGGAGGGGTGATTCTCCAGGATGGGTTTTATTATTGTTACTATATTTTAAATCAGCAAACAGAAGCCCAGAGAGGTGAAGTCACTTGCCCAGGTCACTCAGCTGGTAAACACTGGGGCCAGGAGTAGACTTCAGGCTTGTCTGGTTCAAAGTCCTGTGCTTAAATGCATAGGCACACATGTGCACACACACAATTAATAATCTTAGGACACCCACGGGGGGGAGTTCCTTGGTCTTTCAATTGTCCCCTACTTGGGAAGAGACCCAGGGCTACACGGAGGGTTGAACATTTAGGCTCAGAATAGATCTTCACTTGTTTATTCAAGTATTCATTCACTCATTCATTCTCTCCCTCATTATTTGCTCCCTAATTCTCTGACTCACTCGTTCATTCAATCATTCACTCACAATCAACTAATTATTTCTACTTCCAGTTTTTACTCCCTGTACACTCAGACCCTACGTTCTGTGAGCTCAGAGGCTGTGCAGAGCCTGGCCGGCAGACAGGGTGGCACAAGGCAGGGAGTGGGACCCAAAGGGCTTGTCCTGGATCCTGAAAGGCAGAGGAGTTTCCCAGGCGGCCCTGGGAAAAGGCTGTCCCAGCCCAAGCCTGCAGGGTATGTGCCGGTCCTGGGGCTCCAACAGCCGCTGGAGGCCTTAAGCAAACTTGAGCAAACCTGAGGGGGATGCGAAGAATGGTAGGGGGGTCACTGGGGTAGAAGGCTGGAGACATGGGCAGGGGAGTCAAGGTCAAAGTTAATTTGGGAGTAGGGTGTAGAGCAGGGTCAAAGTTTGGATTGGGTTGAGGATGAAAGATTAGAGCTTGAAATCCGATTATTTCTTTTTCACCTGCCTTCTCCAGGAGGATTTCTAGTGACCTGTATCAACGGTGAGGATCTAGGGTTATGATTAAGGCTGCCAAGAGCCTAAGGATCAGGGATGGGCTTTAGGGTTGGGACTCAAAGTGCAGTAAAATCAAAGTCCTGGAGGAAGCAAAACCAGTACTTGCTGCATGGAGTCTGCCTTTCCCTCCTCTCAGAAGCATGGATGTACTGGCTGTGTAATCTTGGGCACATGCAACCCCTATGGGCCTCCGAGCGCCCACCTGTTGAACTGCTGGGCGGATCAGGATGCTGTTCTGTGTTGTCAGCATCTTCCGTGAGCCAGGCACCATGGGCGGTCCAGATGTTCTCATCCGCTCCCGACACCACCCTAGTGTTGATCAGGAACGGAACAGCCTAGCCAACCACCTGCATACAGTAGGTGCGCCATCAAGGTTAGTTCTCTCCGCTTCTCTCATTTCCCCACAAAGCAGACTCCAGGAGCCCCCTCTCGGCCTGGGCGGCCCAGCAGCGCTGACTCATTCGTCTGGAGGAGTAGGGGCCAGCGGCTGGAGCGCCCCCCCACCCCGGCCCCTCCCGGGCCTGCGCGGCGCAGCTGGGGTCCTGAGCTGCCGCGGGCGGGGAGCCGCGCAATTACCCTAATTACAGCCCGGCCTCCGCGGCGGTGGCGAGCGAGGCCACGCCGCACGGAGAACGCCCCCGGCCCTGCCGAGCGTGGGAACCGCCGTGCCCTCCGCCCGGGGCGGCGGTGGCGGCGGTGGTGGCGGCAGTGTTGGGACCCAGCCCGTGAGGCCTCGATGGCCGATAAGCCCGCCCAGCCGCTCGCCAGGCTAATTACCGGGCGGCGCTCAGTGCGATCGCAGGCGCCTTTCATCTACCGTCTCCAAGTGCCCCGCGCCCATGAATCCAAATCCCACACCTGGGTGGGAGCAGCGGCGGGCCCGCGGCTCTATTTGCGGGGGGAAGCCGAGTGGCCAAGCTCCCAAGGAGGTTCCCACGCACCATTCATTTGTTTACTTCTTCACTCGAGAGAGTTTAGAGGAGATTTGGTGCTGCGGAAAAGGCAGGAGGTAGATAGAAGCAACCTAAAGGTTTAAACTCTGTGCCTCAGTTCCTCATCTATGACATGGGGACAGCAGTCCCCATGCTGCCTCCCTCCCAGCACTGCTGCTGTTTTATTGTACTTTCATTCATTGATTGCATCCATTCACTGAGGACATTTCAGAGCTGTGAACTGGGTGCCAGGGTTAGGGGGACACTGTTCCAGTTTGTCCAGGACTGAGGGGTTCCCAGGATGCAGGACCCAGGGGTGCTAAAATTAAGATAGTGCCCTGGCTGTCCACGGATTGGGCATGGCCTGTGAATGAAAAGATCTCTGGTTCAATTCCCCAGCAGGGCACATGCCTGGGTTTTGGACCAGTTCCCCAGTAGGGGGCGTGCAAGAAGCAACGAATGGATGTATCTTGCGTTGATGTTTCTCTCCTTCTCTTTCTCCCTCCCTTCCGTTCTCTCTGAAAATAAATAAAATCTTTAAAAATTAAAAAAAAAAAAACTGAGATAGCAAACCAGGATGGTTGGTCACCCAGCTTGTGCCAGCTGCTGGAGATACGAGCCACAACAGAGCCCGGCCTGGTCCATCTGAGAACTGGAAAGACTCCTGCCCACAGGGAGGGATGACCCTTGTGAACTGCTGGCAGTGGAACAGGGCAAGGGTGAGGCTTCCTGGTGATGCGCTATGCTCAGCTTTTTCCCAGTCCTCTGGCTCAAGGCCCAGAGATATGTTGAAGCAAGCCTACCCATTGCCTGGCTGGGAAAGCCAAGGCTGAGAGACTGACAGAGGCTTTCCCACAGCCCTGCCATGAGTCAGTGCCCAGGGGCAGGCGTGGTCAGTCCCACCCCCTTGTGCTATGACCTTGGGCAAGCCGCCTTACTTCTCAGAGCTGCCTCCCATCCTTACCTGGAGGAGCCAGGGATGCAGGTGTGGTGATGGCTACCTGATCTCCAAAGCTGGTGGGGTGGTACCTGCCATTGCAGGAGGCCTTTCCAGGAACCCTCCACTTCACCAGGAACTCCCAGTAAAGGAGGCCTCCCCAAGGTGGGAGTGCCTGCCAGGAGCCTGGTTGCTGCTGGGTTCTTGGCAGTCGCCAGGTGAGGACATGCCAGGAAGAACCTAGAAAGACCAGCCTTTGGAAACAGACAGAATGGACATTAACCCCAGTAGGTTACTGGACCTGTCTCAGCCTCATTTTCCTCATCAGTAGCTGGGGAGCGATAGCGTCGCCCACTACTGGGGTCATGAATGAGATTCTGAAGATGAGGGGACAAGCAGGTGCTCAGACACACCAGTTCCCTTCCTGTCCTTTACTGGTCCCTGTGTTCCCCTGCCCAGCTGGCCTGGCCTCACGCTCTGCTTCCCCCTTTTCCCTCCATTCACTGGGTACCCCCCATGTGCTGGTTTTCTTAGGCCCTCCGGTGAGGCAAACGTGAAACATATGGAATTTTCCTTCTTCTATGGGAAGCCATGGTGATCCCTGAGACCCCAGCGTGGCAGTAGGGGGCCAGCTCCCTCACTCCCCTGCTCTTTCCAACGGTCACCCTCTGCCGGGATGCCCTTTCCCTGCATCCCCCACCTCCGACCCACCGTCACCCGTCACCACCAGCTCCACTGCTCCTGCCTCTATCCAGCTGGGGAGCCTGCCGCGCTTGGCCCAGGCAGATTTAACTGCGCCTTCCCCGTGAAAGCCTGGCCTGTCTTAATCTGCAGCCATGCACAGGGCCTAGCTCGTTGTCGTCGGCAATAAATGTGGAAAGAAGAGAGGAGAATCAGAAGGGAAGGGGTGGCCCTGAGTTTGTTCAAGTTTGGGAAGTTATCGAAAGGATTCCTGCCCACCCTGTGCCCAGGATGTGACATTCCCTCCAGAAAGGGAGAAAGTGACAGACGAAAGGATGTCTACTGGGGGAGGGTTCGTACTAGCTCCTTCCAGTGTCTTCCTTGCCCCTGCTTTACACCTTGATTGTGGCCATCAGCAACCCATCTCCACTGGCAGGGGGCTGCTGGGACACAGACACCCAGTCTGGGGGACATCAGCTTTGCTAGGAGCAGTGGGTCTCCTTGAGGGAAGTCACTTCCTTGGGTGTAAGGGGCTCGGCCAGATGACCTTCCCAAGTCCTTGCAGAAATTCTGAGACTTGTGATTCTTCATATCCAGCATCCGTAGTGTAAAGCTTTCTGTCTGACGTGGGAGCCACTAGCCCCGGGGGGTTCCTGACCTCTCAATATGTGGCTACTCCAAACTGAGCTGTAAGAACAAAATACACACCAGATCTTCAAAGATTTAATGTGAAAGATGCGAATATCTCATTAATTTTATATTGATTATGTGTTGCAATGATATAATTTTGTATATATTAGGCTAAATAAATTTGTTATTAAGTTCATTTCACTTGTTTCTTTTTACTTTAAAAAAAAGTTTATTAGAACATCTGCAATTTCATATGTGACATTCGTTTCTATTCACATTCATTCACACTCTGCTTATATTACCCAGCACTAGTTAAAGAGTGGCAGTCACCCAGCTAAGCCAAAACTTTTTCCCCGGCACCAGTCAGGTCTGGGGATGTTAGGGTGTTATTCTCTTCCTTCGAGGGAAGAACCAGACCCTGATACCTTATGAGAAAATGCTGTCTCCTCCCCACAAATGAAGGCACCCCAAGTCTCATCTTCCCCCTCGAGTGGATGGGTGCTGGGGAGGGAGGAGCCAAGCCCATCCTCCAATGCTGTACTCCCTCTACAAGGAAGACACAAATGAGACGTTACTGGGAAATTCCTTTCCAGGCTGGCTTCGAGCCGAGCGAGGGCCAGGCTGGCCCACTCGGAGGAAACCCCTGGCTGCCTCTTCCTGTCTGGCCCATCCCTGCCCCGTAAGTCAGAGTCAGGCTCAGGGGCACCCCCATCCCCGAGTCTCCAGCCAGGACAGAACCAGGCTGGGCATTCAAAGGGACATATGACTCTCCCCAAGGGAATTTATACACCAAGGAAGCAGGTCACACCCACAGAGCACCTGGAGATGATCACATAGCAGCTTGCATCTTCTGGGAAACAGCAGGTCTCTAATGAGATATGGGCAGATATGCGTTCTCCATGCCCCACCCCCACCAATATTCCCCTCCACATTTTGAGAAGGAAATAAAGAACAGAACACAATGGTTAACAGTGAAACCTTAGCACTCCTTCAGGCATAAGCTTAAACCCCAGTTTGGCCAGCTGCTTGCTTTGTGGCCTTGAGTGTTAACCTCCCTCGGCCTCAGTCTCCTCAAAGGTAAAATGGGCACCATCAGAGGACACCCTTCGCAGGGATATTGTAAGAAGTCAGTGAGCTTATGCATGCACGCTGCCTGACAGAGAGCGCTCACCAAACGTCAGCTACAGTTATTAATAATTGCAGAATCTGTCCTCACATACTTCTTTTCATGACTAAAATCAGCCAAAACAAGACTGCCATAGGGAGCTTCTCCGGGACTCTGAGCACCAGTCATTGGAACACAATTGGACTGGAAAGGGGTTTGCAGGATGCCTGGTCAAACGGTTCGTAAAGACCAGCCACACTTCTCTGCGACAGTTTGCACTGGTCCCTTTTGGTGCGCGTTGGCCGGCCAGGTCTACAGCAGCACTAGGCTAGGGTGAAGAGCAGGGAGAGAAAAAAGCCCATTTCTGTGCTCCCTTCCCCCATGCACCAGACACTGGGCCAGGAGGGGCGGGTGAGGGTGAAGGGGGAAATGGCTGGAGAATTCCAGAAGCTGTTTTTTTCTTAATTTCCCTTTGCATTTCAGTTCAACTGCAAAATGAAATAGCAGAAAGAATATTACTTCCATTTCCCTCAATATTCCCACTTAAAGCCGGACTTTCAACAAGAAGAGGGAATTTTTTAAGCCCGAGAAGGAGCCTTTTGTCTCAGCAATTCCAGATCCTCCAAAGGACGAACTCTATCAAGAAAAGGGTCGTGAACTTCGGCACCAGGCTGGGAACCGGGGAGGTGGCAGGGACTGACCCCAAGACTGTTGCGGGTCTCACCTCGGTGATGCAGACGCTCCTGCAACAGGTGCGAGATAGATTTTGGACTGTATCTGACCAGGTCATTGGAAGAACTGATGAAATGAGTAGTCGCCTCGATGACCTGGAGAAAAACATTGCAGACCTCATGACACAGGTGGAGACGGAAGAACTAGGAGATGAAAACAAATTAGCTGCTACACAAAAGAGTTGAAGGTTGCTAATTTACACCGAAATTTGGAACATCGTTTTTACCAGCCAAGAGAAGACCAAGTGGCTTTTTGCTACTAACTACTATGTATAGACAGGTTTTATATTATAAGTGTGTATTCTTATCACATATTTTATAGTTAGTTTATAGGGTGATTCCCTCCCATTCCCAGTTTCTTGAACATGATAACTTCACATCGGGGACCTTGGTCAGTTGTGCTATTAATATTAAACACTAAGAAAGAAATCCCCAGCTGGTGAGGCTCAGCGGATTGCGCACCAGCCTCTGAACTGAAAGGTCGCTGAATTAGATTCCCTGTCAGAGCATATGCCTGGATTCCGGGCCAGGTCTCCATTTTGGGGCGCCCGAGAGGTAACCGATTGATGTTTCTCTCACACATCTATGGTTTTCTCCCTCTCTTTCTCCCCGCTTCCCCTCTCTCAAAAAATTAATTAATTAAATCTTTTAAAAAACACACAAAGAAACTAGCCATACTAGCACATAATCATGTAAGACAAAGTGTTGTGCCCTAATTTTTCTGCCTTAAAAATGGTGCTTCATATATTCTTTTTTGCTATGTTGATGTACCTTTGTCAACAGCTCTTGAAAGAAAACAATAGTTCAATCTAAGATATTGTCCAATTGGATTTTTTGGTGTTAAAAGTGGTCGTTCTATGACCACTTCTATGGAGTGGCTGGTAGTTTCTTTAGGTTGGTTTGGCTAGCTGGTTAGGTCATTTTATGTGTCTAGACTTAGTGAAATAAAAAACTGGCCACCTTAATATCTGTCCCTAAAATGTGAAAGGGAATGGTTTACTGACCCAAAGACCTGGGGATCTCTGCACCCCGCCCAGCTTCCTACCCCCTGCACTCCTTCCACTTGTCCTGCCCAGGCTGCGCCCTCAGGGACAGAGGCAGCAGCAAGCCTGGCAACTATGACCCGCGCCCCTCGCAGGGGCGCTCCTGCAGCTCCCGGCACCCGGGCACTCACATTTCCCGAGGCTCCCCTACCATCCTCACACCCCGCTGACTCCGAAGAACTTTCTTCCACTGAACTGGAACCCACTCCCGGGGATGCCCACTGGTCCTAGGTTCGTTTTCAGAGGTCGCCGAGAATTTGCACTCTCACTGCCAAGGACAGCCATTTAGAGTTCTGAAGGCAGTATGATTTAAAGGCCCCGAGAGGCTTCCCTTCGCTGGGCTAAACAATCCAGTTCCTTCCTAAGAGGGCCTCCACCCTGCAAACCCCTCGATCCTCCAGCTCCCCTCCAGGAGCTCCGTATGAGGGCACAGCAGCTTGGTCGGCAAGGGCGTGAGCTCTGCAGTCAGACAGGCTCGGGCTTGGCATGATTCCTGGCCACACTTTTTTCTGGCCGTATGACCTTGAACAAGTTACTTCAGCTCTAGGTGCCTCAGTTTTCAGTTTCCTCACCTCAAAGTAGAGATAATAACAGCTCAGATAGGGTTGTTGTGTTATGAGGATGATGTCAGTTAACATGCATTAAGCCTTAAAACAGTGCTTAGCACAGGCTGTGCTCAGCGTGTGTCATCTAGGATGTGCTTTGTGAGCCTGCCCTCCCCACCCATCTCCAGTCGGCTGGGGCCAATGAGCCTTTTCCCAGGGGGTTTTAGACCTGGGAGGCAGAGAAGGAAGTCCAATTTTTCTCTATTAGCTGAAAATACAAGGTATAAAACTCAGCCATGTTTTCCACATCAGGAAGAAAATCAGTGTGCTGTGACAGAGGAAAAAAGTATTGCTCAGAAAAAAGCAAAGATGAGAGAGAGTTCTGGTTCCAGTTGCTCCTAAAAGCCAGTTCCATCTCAGCCCTTCCTATAACTTCATTGTTTGTCTCTAAGCTTTTACTGTGTAACAGCAACCTTCAAACTTAGGGCTTAAAGCACTGCACATTTATTAGCTCCTGATTCTATATGCTACAACGGGCTGGGCTCTGCTGATATCCCCCGAGCCCATTCATGCAGCTGTAGTCAGCTGGTAGCTTGACCTGGGCTGCTTGGTCCAGGACGGTTTGGAGGTGACCTAGTATTTACTGAATGTCGACCATATGCCAGGCACTGTGGGAAATACTCAAGTGGAGAAAATTAATATTTACTAACGTCCTACTTTGCGTTAGGCCAGGGATGGAAATTTTAGGTGTATTATTGCACCTAATCCTCCTGATTATGTGGCCAGATAGTCGTTATTAAGATTACCCCCATCTTACAGATGAGGGAACTGAGGCTCAGAGAAAAGGAATAACCTGCCTAGGATGTCAAGACCCACAGGGGCAGGGCTGGAATTCAAGCCAAGGACTCCTGAGTATCTGCAGAACCCACACTGCACAATCCTGGCCCTTCCTACACCACAGAGTAGAAGCTGGCCCTACCCCCGTGCTGCCTTAAGAGTCGTCAAGGGGACGGAGTGGACGCAGCATCCAACAATGTAAGATTCAATGCCGTTCACTCAGCAAATGTGCCCCTATATCTGTTTTGGGCTAGGCAGCATGTTAGGTACTAGGGATGTGGAAATGACTCAGACACAGGACGCAGCAGCAGCAGCAGCAGCAGCGTGGAGGAGGAAATGATTAATCATGCCTGGTTTGGGCTCAGCGTTTACTCGTTTATCAGCCTGAATCTTAAGGGATGCCCGATGCTGGTGAGGAAATGCAGTTCCAGCTGAACTCCCCTTCCCACAGATGCACAGGGTCTCAGAGTCCCAGTTACAGAACAATCAAAGGGCAAGGTCATCCTCACAGGGAAGGTGAAGGGCTCTTGGGCCATCCTTGGAGCCCGGCTACAAAAGCTGAGCACGGTCCACTTGTGGATGTCCGGTCAAAGTAGCAGCTTCCAGGGTGAGCTGATACCCTTGCCATCCTCTAAGGCAGCTCAGGGGTTTCTGAGTCCAAGGAAGGACTTTCTGCCAGCCCAGAACCGGGATCCTCAGAGACGCAGCATCCACCAGCCCAGAGCACTGTCTGCAGTGGGCAGGCATGAGCATGGGAGGGCAGAACGGGCAGTGCAAGGAATGCGGGGGACTCTGCTGGGAGTTCTAGCTGTATCAGTTCTGGCTCTGTTCCCATAAGCTGGTGATTTATTCTTCCCGAGCAGCCTTCTCATCATCTATAAAGTGGAAACAAAACTCCCCATCTTAGCCAACGTTTTTGGTGTCTCTTGAGCTAGTTTAAGCAAAACTCCAAGGCAGAGGGCACATGAGCCTGGCACTGCACCTGGAAAGCCATCAGAACTTCGGTCAGGACTCCCTCTTCCTCTCTCCTCTCCTTTATTTTCCCTCCTTGCTGGCCTCATTTTTCTCCCTCTGCTGACAGGTTTCGTCCATATATCTGGAGCCTATGGTGAAAGCTGGCTGCCCCGTAGCTCATACATAGGTTTACGTGTGACAATCCCAGCCTCATTCAACCTGCCTCTATCGTTCAAGGCTAATTTCAAAATCCTAGGAGAAAGAATCTGGTCCAGTTTTGGCCTAAGATCCACCACTCCGGTGTGTGGCTCAGGGAGCTTTGTCCAGCAAAGGTAGGTCACAGAGTATACCTGGGGACCCCCACTGGTAAAATGAGGAAGGGGACACTTGTTAAAGAAGGAATGTCACTGTGGGCCAAGCAGATTCCCCCACAAGTTACAATGAGGATTAAATAAACCAACAAACATCCATGGCCCGGCACCTGACAGGCGTGCCTTTCGAAGGAGGGTCCCAGGTCAGATTCTCTAGAAGCAGAGCTCTCAGGGGAGAAGTGAGGAAACGAAGGGGATGGGCAGGTATAGAGGACGCAGGCCTAGCCTGGTCTATGGGGAGCTCTGGAGCTCTCAGCCCCACTTGCTCCATAGAGTCAGTCTCACCTTGAGCCAAGGGGACTAGTCTATTGTGCCCTCACCAATCTGTCCCCAGGAATGGTAGGGGTGGGAAGAGGGGAAGCTTCCATCTGGCTGAGGGCATGTCTCCAGGGAAGGGAGCAGCCATGACTGTTCTCAGCCAACATCCCAGCAGCTGGGAGGCGGCGTGCCAGCCAGGAAAGGGGATCCAGGTGGGATGCCAACGTCACCCGTTACCGGAAGCCTCACGCAAACACATAGGGTCACTAGTTTACCTCTTGCCCTTATCTCTCCCTTTGATGTGTTTAAGAGTAATGCTAAATTATATATTGGATAAATGCTTTTATATAATTATGATTTTTTTCACATTCTGTATGTTTTTGTATACATAGAGTATACTCTATGTATACACAAACATAGCCATTACTATAAAAATCTAAATGTGATATTTCCCATAAGGGATTCTTAAGGACCACATGTGCTTTTTGCCTTACATGCTGATTTTAGAATTTAATGTCGTCATTGTTATTAAATATGACTCTACTATAAGCAATTGAGCCTCTCGATCCCTCCCTAATCTTCCTCTTCCTCAAGGTCACAGGGTTCCTGCCCTGGTGAGGGCCTCAAGGGGAGAGGACCTCCTGGCTCCGGTGGCTTCCCATCCCACTTGAAACCCTCGACTCAGCCGCTCAGGGCCCACATGACCCGACCCATGCCTGCCTGTCTGACCGCTGACCCTAAACTCACCAACCTCCAGTCTCAGGGCCTGTGCAGTCGGTTCCTCAAGCCCACCAGCTCATTCCCGCCTGAGGCTCTGCACATGCTGCTTCTTGCCCAGAACATCTTCCCCTGTTCTTTGCAGAGCTGGCTTCTTGTCTCCATCAGGTTCAACCTAACGTCACCTGTCTGGGAGGCCAGCCCTAACCCCTCCTGCTAAAATAAGTTCCAATTACCTTACTTACTTCTTTCCTAACCTTGACAGTTTAAAATTGTTTTTGGTTTTTCACTTGGTTCTTTTCTCTGTTGTCACTAAATTTTAAGCTCTGTGATGTCAGAAAGTGTCTGCACACAGTAGGAGCTCAGTAAGTACTTGTTGGATGAATGTATGAATGAATGAATGAATGAATGAATGGATCTGTTGCCATGTCCTAGCAGTTTATCGCAAATCCACCCTGTCC